AGTTAAGGGCAGAAATTGGCCCTTGGAACAAACTGAAAAAATCATTATGGCCCGAAGGCTTCAAAGTTTGGAGACCCCTGCTGGAACATCGAAGAAAGGTTAGAGATTTGTTTCTCTTCTATGGGTACTTTCATGGAATGTGTTCAAGCGACTTGGCATATTTGATTCCACCAAGAGCGGTACGTATCAGAAATACGCGACGAACTGTGGCTGCTCTTCGCTTCAAGGTTCAACCCAGTACACCTCGAACTTCACTGTATAAGAATTATTTCATTTGGAGAACTGAGTTAATGTGGAATAAACCTGAGAACGTTTTTCCAAGTGAATTTAATTTCCAGGGATTCAAATCCAACGTGAATCGCTACTTTCGCTCTAAAAGCGCGTCAAGGATTCTCATGTAGTACTTGTGTTTTGTCCTCACAAAAAAATGTGTTTGTTTCTAGTCCACAACATCGACACCAGGGTAAGTATCGCTTTTTTGATTTCCCTATCCCTACATCTCTCTTAGCTTCTCCGATAGGAATAGCACGTTGAAAGGTAAGACCTTGTTAATCCTTAGCTAGCAGAAGTTTTGACTTTTGAGAGTGGTCGTTCGTAGGGAGACGGCAGTGTTTTACGGGAAAACAAATTTTGACAGATTCTTCAACGAATTTTTGTATGTTTTCAACGTAGAGGAAAATGATGACAACATTTTTAATATAAATATTTATTCGCTATCCTAAAGTTCGTATAAATAATAAACATCTCTTGAACAACAATATCTAATCAAAAGTTGACAATACCAAAAAAGAATATCAAATCGATCATTGCAAGATAATGTTAGATATAGTAGATAAGTAGATATGTGAGTTAATTGATTGATTAACCAATAATATTACACAGCCATCAACTCTGCGTTATCAAAATTCCCGACAAAAAACTAATCACAATTTCGTCTTGATTAAAAGAGTCAGGGGCGTGCGATATTATTTATAACGGGGTCAAATAATACAATAAAATGAAACTGATTTTTATACCAAATACATTTTGTACAGTTACATACAATTCTCGATGCAATTGACAATTCATCAACATAGTTATTATAATGATAGTTATTATTTTAGTAAGTCAAAATAAAATTGAAAATATATTTTTTAACAACCTAACAAGTGTTTGTCTTTAGTTCTAATTTAATATATTATTTTACTAAGTCAGAAACTTATACTTTAACGAGCATAAAAAGTGTGATATTGACAAAAAGCCGGGAGTTATACAGTTTCAATTAAATTCGGTTAACAAGTACAAAAACAGTAAACTTCACCGAAAACCTCTATACTTACAAAAAGTTTGTTTCTAATCTCCCTCATGAAACAAATAGAATACTAAAACAATATCAACAACATTTTGAGCTGACCGAATTACCGTGGGCGATACTATTGATGCTTAAATTAACAGTCTCTTCGTTGGCAGTGTCGGTTGCTTCTAAATCGCTAGACTTGGCCATAATGTCATCATCGTAAACCTTGAGAGTTTGAAGTTGTCCCGACAACTTCAACAGTTCTTGGGCGATTTTTTCGAAAATCAAGCCGACGCCCTGCAAATGAAAAAAAATTTCAGTACATTCGAAAAACAGACAAAAACTGACTTATCCTGATTTTTCATTATTATCATTTTCACACCAGAAGACTAAATGAAGTCTAAACACTGACTGTTTTATTGAAATTGCACCTTTAAACTTGGACTTTAACCATAAATGGGCTTGTTTCATGATTTTTGCTTTACAGTTCATTTGATAGTAATTTTAAATTGAAAAATAGTTTAGTTTGTTTCAGCTCTCTAAATAGCGTTGTTTTCCCGTAATTAATTATTAAAAATCGTAGGTAGCTATAGCTTCCTACGTGTTTTATTTCTTGGGTAGTAAGGGTATTATGACTTGACGTCGAGGTCTCAATATTACTACTCACCAGGTCTCGTCACTGGTTAGTGTCTCAATCTGTCTACTCCTAAGCGTCGACTGAGGTTCCACCCCCACCCTCCCATGCCCCCGTCCCGGGTTGAGTGCCCTGAGTTGAAATCTTCTTCACACGGTTAACGTGTGCAGAACATCCCGTCTCGTCCATCCACCCCCGCTCCTCCGGAGCGGTCCTCAACTTACTGATGGACACTTCAGCAAGAATAACATCTGACCGTTGGTTGAAAGTCAGCCTCTAGGTGCTTTTACTTTCTGATCTGTCGAGTTGTTTTGTCATGACTTTCCCAACTGAATTATTGCATGGGGTCTCCATAAAATAATCGGAGACAAGTGTCTTAGTCAATTTGACGTCTGCTTACGAAATTTTTATACTTAGCGGAGTCGTCTAACAGCGACTCTCGGGGGTGGTCTTTGGTTCTGCTTCGTTGGCCTCCTGTGTTTGTCCCTCACTCGGAATCTGGGGTCATCCCTATTCAGTGCGTTATGTAGGTCGCTGAGTGCTAGATTTTCGTGCGCTCGGATTCTGTCAAACGTGTCCTCTGCGTGTTTCCTCATGTATGCGTCTACATAGTGTATGTTCAGGTCTAGATCCCGGAATATGTACTTATTCTACGGCGTTTACGGCGGCCCTTACGCACGCGTTCATAAACGACTGGATCTGTCTTCTGTATGTCGCTGCGCACTGGCCCCAGGCAGTGCAGGCATACAGGATTATCGGTAGTATTACAGTCTTCATCATCAGCAGCTTCACTTTCAGTTCCATGTTGCTTCTTCGATCTATTATTGGTAATAGGTTTTGTCGGGCAGATCTCGACATTCCTATTCTCTGCCGTACGTGAGACCTGAACGTTAATCTTTTGTCTAGGTTGACCACCACGAATCTATCTTCGTTGGTCCACGGAATCTCTTGTCCGTTGAAGATGAAGTTTCCTTCCGGGTGTAACATCCTTCGGGTGAACAGAATTGCTTGACTCTTGTCAGGGTTTATACTGATCTTCCACGGGTTGGCCCATTCCTCTAATCTATCTGCCTGTTGCTACAAGTATCTGGTGATGAGGGTCCACAGTCTCTGGTCTGCTATTTATGTCCCTGAGCGAGAGGAGTTGCAGACTGGTAGTGGTAGCGAGGGGGAAGTTGGTAGTGGAAACAGGGATTTGTCTTGCAGAAGCGAGGTGCACAATGTGAGATATACGGCGCGACAGTAATGATCTCTGTGAATGAGGTGATCTTTGAGAATCGCCCCGTTTGTTGAGAATGTTGGGACCTTTTTCAATTTTTATAGCTTCACAGTTATCCTGGCTCGCAGAGTCTTTAGGTGGCAATGGTTTTGGTGTTTTGAAAGCTTATTGTGTGGCCCAATTTACGATTGTGTTTGTAGAGGAATGAGGCTGGATCTGATTTACGGACAGCAAGCTCATTATTCATAGGCTCTGTTGGAGACTCTTCTGTTGGTCTGGCCAGACCACAGACTGTGGGCCCACAGTTGACACTTGGGAGTAGGCAAATTGAGATCCTTGCGGAGACCTGAAGAGTTGAGACCCTTGCAGAGACCTGCGGAGACTTGGTGTGTAGGCAGACTGAGACCTCTGTATGAGTTCCTTTAATTTTTTGCGAAAAAGTGTATCACTGGATATTTTTCTAATTGAGATGGGAATATGGTGGAATAGTATTTTCCATTATGACATAGTAAACTCCTGATGCGTGATGTTGAAGAAAAAGAGAGCGTGATATTGTAAGTGGGACGAGTACCATAACTTGACCGTAACTCAAAATTTTTCTTGTAATTTTTTACGAGGCAAAATTTCTCTAAAAAAAACAGCCCGTTTTTGAAGAATGAAAATAGAATTTATCGATGTAAATAATGTCTGATCTTGTTTAGTCTAGTTCACATGTACTTTTTTTTTAACATTTTTCAGCCCTGTCCAAAAATTACGACCAAGGTGTCATTCGATTCGCATTTTTGCCTAGAAAGTTTAAGGAAAGGTCCGAAAACGCGCCGATAAAAATTACAAAAGTTATAAACAATTAANTTTTGTAATTTTCATCGGCGCGTTTTCGGACCTTTCCTTAAACTTTCTAGGCAAAAATACGAATCGAATGACACCTTGGTCGTAATTTTTGGACAGGGCTGAAAAATCTCACCAAAAAGAGCTAAATCGAGTACATGTGAACCAGACTAGTTCGACTTACTCGAAAATTAAGAGGAGGGGAAGTTTTAGATCCGCTCTGTGAACAAGGGCATAGTTCGTCAATAACCATTGACTACCTTTTTTTACCAGTCGTGGTTTGTGTCAATAGTTTCCAGATTGTGTAGAGAAAGGAGTTAGTACGATAAGATACCTACTGTTCTTTGATCGTTTAAATCGGTTTTGTTCCCAACAACACACAGCACCATGGTCTCTTCGACATTTCTCTTGACTTCTTGCACCCAAGACTGCATGCTCTCAAAGGAACTGGCCGACGTTATATCGAAAACCAACAGAGCTGCGTTTGCGTTTCGATAAAACATGGGGGCCATCGCTTTGAATCTTTCTTGTCCGGCTGTATCCCATATCTGAAAAATACAACAAAAAAGATTAACCATTTGGTCTTCCGCGGCTGAGGGTTTCAGTCTGTCAGTATCTTTATTCAGGTTTGAAGGCCTTCTATTTTTGGAATTTCGTCCTAGCATTTCGCTGGCGTGAGTGACTAGCTTCTCCAGAGGTTCATACATTTTCAGTTTATTTACGATGACAGGAAGTCGGAACTGATGAAATTCACCAGGAAGAGACTTTTCACGCCCCTACTGTATAATGTGGATAAATTAGTTTGTTGCTCATAAAGCACTCATCATCGGAAATTCAAGACATTCTGTATATTAGTGGTTTGCTCATCAAGATCTGATCTAGCTTCACGGACCTTGATGTTGTATTATTCACGTTGAATTGTATGAAACACTCGATCTATGGATTCAGCCATCGTCTACTTCAGATCTGTCATCTCTAGATTTTTCATGCAGGTATATTGAAATGCATTTCACCTTACCTGAAGTGTTACTAAATGATCTTCCAACTTTATCTTAACGCTAAAGAAAGAAGCACCAACTGTCGGCGCATTGTTCTCAGTAAAAGTATTTTCTACATATCGTGTCACTGTTGCAGTTTTACCAACACCTGAAATATAAAGATAGATCATTATCATGGATGTCTCCAAACTTTTCTCACAGAAGTTTTTCTGTATTGCACTATGCAATTAACCGTTATACAAGTTATGTTTGAAACATAAGGAGAATTTTAATCTTCATCAAAAAAACATTATTTATTCATCAATTTCCATTTTGTCCCCTTCAAAGTAGTCCCCCTTAAAGCCCCCATCCATCAAACAGCCCCCCGTCGGTGGTACTGTTTGATGGTTGTGCAAACTGTTTGAGTAAAATCGATCTGGATCGAAATATTTTGCGCAAACGACCCTTCGGATCAGTCTACGCCTTTTCCGCTTCGTGAGCGAGCACTTTTTCGTCTCTTTCTCAGATTCGGCAAGTTTTTCTAATTATTATTTTTGTTTCATTTTCGTTTTTGACCAGTTCCAAGTTCCAAGGTGTTTCAATTCATCGTAGTATGTTAATGGTCGAGTAGAAAGTTATTTTTCTACTCCCGTACGTGAAATAGTACTTTCACACACCGTTCACGAATCGTAAAATGTAATTTCACGCCCTTGTGCGTGAAATTATTTTTACGCCCTAGGGCGTGAAATAAACCCATAAGAATAACATGGTACATTCAAGTGTTTTTATTACCAGTGCGTGAAATATACTCATAAGAAATACATTGTAGTCTGTCCATAAGACCTAATACATGAATATTTCGCTGATAGGCGGCCTTAGTGCATCTTTTGTTTAAGAGCAGCAATAAATCATAAATAAACTGTCAAAATAGCTTGATCATTATTGTTGTGAGCTCATTGTTGAGAGTTAATTATTAATATTTTAACATTATATTATAATGGATTCTGATCATTCAGATATACGAAGTACCCCGCCGGATGTTATGGATGCAGCCAATGAGGCTAGTAAGACTTTATTACCCCAAAAATCATTGANTCGCCTGAGGGCTCGTGTCGCAAATTCCACGCTTGTGTAAAAAAGTCGATTTCACGCACTTGTTATACAATATTCTATTTTGATTTTTATTTCAGTTTACTGTCGTTTACTTTTTCAGAATATAACGACAAAAGAAGGTGAACGGCGAGAATTTAAGAGGGAGTTTATTGAGTGCTATGGCGGTTTACCCGAACTACGGAAATTTAAAAGTGACGAGTATAAAGTTCTAAATAAGACTCCAGCTGAGCTGAGATGGCAGTTTGTAATTTCAGCTCTTCAAAGGAGGCCCCGCTTACAAGACTTCTCATAGTTGCCAATAATCTCAGTTCTGGAGATATTGCTTCTCTCAGGATGGTGGTGATTTTCTGTATGAAGGGAGTAACCATTTTGAGTAACTTGCTGCACGTAGCTGCGTCCATCCTAAGGTAGTTTTTGTAGTCCGCAGCTGAGATGTGCCTGAGCTCTGTGACCTAGCATGACCAAATTTGTTCCTCTTCGGAAGCCAACTCTTCACTCAACTGTTTGGTCTTCTTCTTTTTTTAGCACGTTTTTCTGTCCCCATTGCAAGGATAATCGCAGCACAACAATCGTCCGTGTCTGACATGCTCATAGGATGTTGAAAACGAAATTGATGTTGGCTTGCACATCGGGTTGTAACGTGGATGGGTTCACGTTGGTGCAAACAGGCATTTGCAAAAACACCAAATTTGCGCAAATTGTTTGACCGTGGATGGGGGCTTTTAGATATAATACACTTGTGCCAGTGTTTTTTCCAATCCTCAAAGCAGTTTTGGTATGCACTTTTTGGTATGTCCTTAAGCTCTCTCAGTATTCGGTTCTTACATGGGTCTATTTGATCTTGGGAACAGGAAAAATTCGCAGGGTGCCAAATCTGGTGAATACGGTGGCTGAGGTGTTGTTTTTGGCCAAAAAAATATGAACAAGCAATGCCGAGTCAGCAGGTGCATTATCGTAATGCAAAAACCATGAATTGTTTTTCCACAAAACCGGACGCTTTCTTCGTATTGCTTTTCGCAAGCGGCGCATAACACCAAAGATAATACTCCTCAATGATCGTACAACCATGTGACAAAAACTCCTGATGCACTACGCCACGGTAATCGAAGAAAACGGACTTTGGTTTCGATGTCATAATCATATACCTTCTATTTGTCATCAGTTTTCAACCTTTTGAGCAAATCTGGTTCGCCGTTGACGTCATCCAACAGTTCCTGAGCGATACTCATGCGACGGGTTTTTTGGTCAAAATTCAGCAATTTTGGAATGAACTTCGCTGCTACACGCTTCGTGCCCAAAATTTCCGAAAAAATTTCATAGTATGAGCCAACCGATATGCCGACATCTTCAGCAACTTTACCACTAGTGATTCGACGATTCTCCACAACAATTTTCTTCACTTTCCCAACATTGTCATAGGTTGTGTATATGGTGGGGCGTCTAGGGCTATCATCGTTATTTACATCTGCTCGACCTTCTGTGAAAAGCGTGTACCATTTGTAAACATTTATCTGACTCAGAGAACAATCATCGTATGCCAATGTCAAAATTTCAAGTGTTTAAAGCACTTCATTTGATTCAACTGATCAAATTATTTGATCCAGAAGGTCAATTGGAATCAAAATAGTGTTAACCACATTTTTGTGCTATGAAATTCGTTAAAGGATTATAACTGACCTGACTGATATTGTGAGCACTTGTGTTTAACTTATTTTGAAAAGATTTACTTCGCCATTTTGTATATAACATTATTTTTGAACTCTCATAAGTCAATATTCCCCAACATTCATCAATTAAGTATTACTTTTACAGTAAACAATTTTCTTACATAAATAATCCTACATCAAGTGAAATGTTTTCCGTTAACAACTAGGTACGCAATCATTAGATATCAGTATCTAACGATTTCTAAATTCCTGATAATGAAACGGTCATTTATATGATTTGCCACTATAATCTTATCGGTTTGATATTGCACCCATTGAAAAAAATATAACCTCAATTGGATTCATTAACAATGAAAGTCAACTTCTTCAACAGGCTTCAACAATTACTGTGACTGAGATATATTTCTCAAATTCTATCAAAAACAATTTCCTAATGAACCAATATTTCGAAAGTAAATCACTCACCTTGGTACCCTAGTACCACAACTTTTCCAACGATGTGTTTCATTCTTCGCTAACATCAGTTTCCTGGTCAAATTGTAAAAGAAATCACTTTTCATCTGAAAAAACTTGTGAAATCCCTTCTCACTCGAGGGGGTTCCTATTGTTTATTTACATGAGTCAAATGTTCCATAACCACTAACTTTCATTGTTTTGACATTTCCTACCACAACCTGTACTTGATGTCACCGCATCATGTAGTCACGTAATGAAAACAGATACCTCCACCAAATTCATTTAAGTATTCAGTGTCAGTTTACTATAACTTGTCGAACTAGGTTTCGAACTGCATACTATTATTTAGGTAGTGTAAAGGAATTCAGGAATGATAATTGAATGTATAACACATAACATATATTATGTGTCTACCATTCCGTTACCTTTTTTACAATTCGTTGTTGAAGTCCCTTTCAGTATTTAGTGCCATCTTTGACTGACGTGCTGAAGCTTTTTATAGAGAGGTTTATGTGTCACTGTAGCTATCAGTTCATCTGATGTACCATAGATGGCGAAAGTAATACATAGACTTTAGACGTATCGTTCTGTATTTGATCAATTTGTAAGTGAAGGAAAATTTCAAAATAGTCGATGTGGCTCTGACATACATCAAACAGTGGAAAAAATTCCTGGAAACTCTTCAAAATAGCATACAATTTGAATAATCTCTAAGAAGCCTGGGATAATCAAATTTCAACACTGTACCGCCCTCTCTGTGCAGAAGTGGAACCATGGATTGTAATTATCTATTTGTCAGCCAGATACCGCCCGGGGTCCGCTTTCTAGCGGGTTCAAAAATTCAACATTTACAATTTTGTATTACGGAGAAATTAAAATTAAATTTTTAATTTCAAGCAATGCTCACAACCTACCTGATTTGTTTTCTGATTCTCATTAGTTTTGCGGAAAATTAATCAGCAATAATATCGATGGTAAGTGCTTATTCACTGTTATTTCAACTATGTATGATATAAATCGAAAGGGGTGTTAATTTTTAACAGACATTAGTTTTCGGGTACATTTCCAAATAGAAATGGAAAAGAAATCTCAAAATACTTATCTCTCCCAACTTCCTACACGATAGGATCTGGTAAATGTTTGCCGGAAAACAACTACTTCCCCGGCTAATACCACGCTGGATATTGAATCATATTCGAGGTTAGTCTCGTAGATGTTTCTCCTTCATCCAGTAGCAGGACCGTGGTGAAATTATTTGATTAGATCACCGGTTTCGAGGTATTATCTCTCATCAGTGCAGGAAAGGTCCGACCCAAACAGCAGAGTGCCTAGGCCTGAAATAATGTCATCGTTGAACTGAGAGAAAGATTTGTGAACTTATAACAAGACATCTCAATATCTTAATCGAGACTTAATAGAATGATAGGATATTTTTGAGTCGAAATGAAACATTATCCTGATTAGTACAAACTTCATTGAAATCAGAAAGAATACGCGACGTGCAGTTAATTTATCTAGCCGTGTGAAGCAAATTGGGTGACTCGAGTGCCTGCTATATGGTCACGGTACGATTGATTTTAACAATGAAATCCTGATGTTGAAAATTCAAGTTTAGTCATTAACTTGCCGCAATAACACGGCAGTCAATTCGAGTGAGTGAACAAAGCACCCACGCCAAACCGCTTGGCTACAGACTTCAAAATGATTATTCAAAAAACCTGCTGGGCATAATGGGGTGGTGCACCGTCTAGTTGAAAATGGATAAATTCATCTTGACATCTTGGATCCTGTTTAATTATTTCAACTATACGAGGTTGTATTGCCTTGGTTGGCTACGCTTACATGTACCACTCAGTATGTGAAAAATAATTTCGGATATAGTTTTGCTTGATATCTATGCACAAAGAATTGAACAGATCTAACTTTGGTACGCCTTTTTTCTACTTGGGACCCTATATGTTGGAGAATATTTCAGAAGAGTCAAGTACACATTTTCACGAAAAGTTTTTCGAAATTCCACTTCTTTATCTCAAAGACCTAAAGAGTATAGTGGAGGTAATATTCCGTTCCTCTTTCCATACCCTCAAAACTCATACCCGATTCCTTCCTCGTTCGACATTAATATCATCATCTGAATGTAAGTAAAAGGGATCGTCAAGCACATTTCCCTAATTCGATGAAACAAATTGCGAAAAAGGATCCCCGAAATGCGTCTCCCAGTCGAAAAAAGACTCGACGAGCGTCTCCCCAACGCCGACTTGGTCCTTATAGGCAGCCGAAAGAAGCGCCAAGATGGTTCGACAGCCTCGTCAACCCCGTCACATTTCCACGGAGGAAAATCTAGCGGCCCAGGGCGTAGGTTGATTGGTAATTGTTTCCCGGCGGCTCTAGACGTCCAATCAACGAGCGAGAGTAGTGGTGCAGAAAACGGCACTCTGGATCCACTCCTTCGGAATAACAATGACCGTGGATGACTATGATCAGGGTGTAGATGGCAACTTGAGAGGATTGGATATTTGATAATGCCTTCAAGACATCGGAGAGAATGTATTTCGAGATGATCGAGTGAGTGGTTTTTTTTGGATGAATTGTGGTTTTGTATCATACTCGTATATGACGTTATTATTACTTTTGAGATACATTTTTGCTGTTGTGTTACACGAAAAGAAGCTGAATAAATGGAGGTTTATATTCTAACACCACGCTATTAGTGAAAATTCATTACTTGAATATTCAAATGGTCTATTGAGGCTGGTGACTTGTTTCTTGTAGATGTCCTAACTGTCAACTACGAACTGCCATATAAAGTACAATGTGTTCCCTTCATTATTAGAAGAAGGACTCAATCGGTGTCTCCCCTTGCAAAAAATCAAAGAAAAACCATGGAAAACATGGATAACTCCCGGAATTAGAACCTCAGCTGCAAACTTGAGATAATAATAAGCAGGGATGGCCACTAACACCCATGGCCTTTGGTGAGTTGCGACACCACTTACCCGAGCAACTGGTGCAAAACCGGACCGACAGCCCAGGCGCACCCGGGAAGGAGAGCTCTATTCTCCCTCCGGTGCCGGCCGTGAGTCCACAGGGCTAACCACCCGGTGGACCCAACACTTGGTTCCCAATAATCAAGGAAGGGGCCCCCACAATCGACCCGCTCGGAGGGGTCAGAGGCAAGGTGGTGGGGCCCATAACGATGATTTGCCTACCGATGACAACCCTGGCAACGAAAACGGACGCTTTGAGTGGACGCATGAGCTGAGAGATAGCCTTATGCATTGCTACGAGAGTAGTGAGCCCGCGCGAAGAGGGTACATGGCGAGATTGCATGCTCTGTGGTGTGAAACACATCCGGAGCATGCCGCCTTCTCCGCCCAAAACCTCAGGGATTATGTATCTTATCTTCGGCGGCAGGGCTATTTAGTTCCTTCCCAGCCTGCTAACGAAGTGGTAGAAGTGACAGTTCTACCAGCCGTTGGCATGGCTGGAGAGGAGACTCGCGTCATACCACCAATGGAGACGACAATCAGAACACGCAGGGCGCTCCACAGGATTAAGCCCCTGAAGCCTCAAGAACTGGCTCGTTTGGATGCGGAGGTTCATAGTGTTCTAACAGAAGAGGCTGACATCTGGCAAATCAACACCGCCGTGCATAGCGCCGTCCAATTGGTTTCCAAATCGGAAGGACAAAATCCCGGCCTTGCGGTTCGGAAGATTGAACGGCGTGTACACAAGATGGAGGCTAAGATCATGTCGGCGAGACAACACGCGTCTCATATCCAATGTGTGATGGACTACAGGGCGGCCAATATGCCTTTCACGTCCGCAGTGCGGCGAATAGCCGCCAATCTACGACGTATCCATAACACTTTATGCTAAGGCGTGCTGCTGACCACTAAACAGCACTGCCTTGATAGGATACGGATGCTAGTGGCTGCTAAGAAGTCACTAGTGAGGCGAACACTTATTGGTGGAAAAAACTACCAAGTACTCACCACCATCTGGCCAGAGTTTTCAACTCATGGCTGGATGGAGAGCAGCCAATTCCGGATTGGTTTGTCGAGGGGCGGATCGTTCTTACCCCTAAAAGCGAAGATTTGTCGATTCCTAAAAATTACAGACCGATAACATGATTGAATTCGTGTTATAAGTTGTTTACAAGCATCTTATACACACGAATACTCACCGCAGTTGACCGAGTGTTCGAACGGATATATGAGCAGAGAGGGCCGGAGAGAGGAGTCGCTGGATGTGAAGAGAACCTGCTTATCGATAGATGTGTAACGCAGGACTCGATACAATATAGGCCATGGAGAGGTTACCTCTCCATGGCCTGGATCGATTACCGTAAGGCAGATGCCTTGCGGTACCCGACAAAATAGTGAGATGAAATGAACAACTGATACCACTTTGGCGAACTCGCTTTACCATAACATCTGGTCAAGCAAGAGTCCAAACAGGGTGGGTCATTTTCAGAAGGGGTGTATTTTAGGGTGATTCCCTCAGTCCTCTTCTCTTCTGCATCTCATTTTTGCCATTATCCGTTCCGCTCAGAAACAATCGAGGGTATAATTGTGGCACTCCCGGAAACCGGAGGCACAAGGTCACCCATTTATTTTACATGGATGATCTTAAACTTTATGCCTCTGGAGAGAAGGATCTCCTTCAGTCCTTGCGGGTGGTGGAAGAGTACACGCATGCTATCGGTATGAAATTCGGGATAGACAAATGTGCAATGGTCCATCTCAAAAGAGGACGATGCGGGGACTACGGAGAGGATGTGCAGCTCGTAGATGGAAGCATCCTACANAAAAAAAATATCGAAATTAATTTATATCTTCTAAACGGTAATAGATAGGTATAGGGAAATAGTAGATGAATTTGTTGACAAAGTGATAATGAATCATAATATGATATTATATACGGGGTGTTCCATTTGAAAAATCAAAGAAGCCGCTACTTTATAGTAGAAGCAACAACGCCGCTTCGTCTGAAATATTTTAGGCGTGTAGGTCATTGATTTATGCATACTGTGAAATTTTCAGGTTGATCCGTTAAATAGTTTGTCAGAAACGGCTAATTAACGCTCATCATGAAAAGCCCTGTATGTTTATTTAAGAATGCCTATACACCTGACTTGCTACAAACATGAGAATGTAATGCAGTTAATAAACTATTCTATTCTAAACTATTCTATTCTTATCTTGAAGTTGTGGAAAAACAGTTCATGGCTTTTGCATCACGATAATGCACCTGCTCACTCGCCATTGCTTGTTCGTATTTCTTCGGTAAAAAACAACACCGTAATCATGCATCAGCCTTTGTATTCACCAGATTTGGACTACTGCCGCATTTTTCTGTTCC